TTCAGCTAAGGAGACATAAAACTGGTCAATGTCTACAAGGCAGTAAGTACATCTGTAACGTAAACTTCAGTGTTATTTTTTTCTGCCAAACAGAAATCTACAAGTTGACATGTAACCTCACAGTGTCTGGGTTCTAGTCAAATAGTAAATAGCACAATCAAGTGCAGATTAATTTTCTATAGAATTAATAATCCTTGGGGAGGCCCATTTAAGAATGTTCATGGTGAGATCATAATATTAAGTAAAAAAAAATCAGACACAAAAGATTAAATATTGCATGACTTCTCTTATTGAAGGAGGTTTTTGTTGTTGTTGTTGTTTGGCTAATTCAGGCTACCTTAGGGGCAAGTCTGGTACAACTTCTGGAGCTGGGGTTTGAACCGCAGTCCTATGCACCTGCCTACATTTACCCAAGCAGCTTTTTAAACAACTGAGCTATCTGACAAAGCCCTGACTTCTCTTATTTAGAAGCCCAAAGTACAAATAATTTAAAGAACAAAAGAAAAGACAGACAAATAGGGAGATAGATCTTTGGTAAATGGGCTAAGGATATTGAGATGGAGGGATGGGAGAGGGAAGAGAAAAAGAAGAGAAGTAGAATGAAAAGAATTGAGATCAGTTACTACGTGTGCCTGCTCCCCACAATGAGTGTGATCATTGGGCACCACACCTGTGTACTAATAAAAATTATATGAAAAAGAATTCCATGAAGCTAGGAGTATAGCTGTGTGGTAGAGCACTTAACTAGCATACTGAGGCCCTATTCCATCCCCAGAACTAGGGGGATTAAATATCCCAGAATTTTGCCATAACTTTTATTAGCAAGTATCCATTCATGTATTCATTACACCTTTATTAATATCTATGTGCCCCAGGGATGTAGAGATAAAGACATGGTCTCTGTCTTCAAGGAATTAATAACCTAATGGGGAATGCAAACATGCAAAATAAAACCAAGTGAAAAAGCATATACCCCTTTTAGATTACCTAAGTTCCCTCATTGCAGAGGCCTTTCTAGCCCCCAGTTTTTTTTAACCTATCACTCTTCTTTCCACCTACATATTATCACACATCTCTTACAGCCCAGATAGATAGATAGATAATTTGATAGGCAAATGAGTCCTCTTTCAGATAATATATAAATAAAGATAAATAAGGGCCTTCTGTACTCTATCCAGTGGAATATATCACAAGGCAGTTTCAGTCTGGAGCGAGGTTGATGGAGCAAGAGAGATGATGATTCTTGTCGCTCCTGCACTTACAGTATATGAGTGCCTCTGCATGTAATTACTAATTAAATAGCCTTTGTAATTCATACACACTATGGAAGACATTTATTTCAAAATTAATGGAGCAGGAAAGGCTTTTGTGAAATTTTCTTTTGGAACGCTAGGATTATAATTATATTTTTTTGGATCAGGGTATAAGACCTGTCTGAGAACACCCAAACTACTTTATCTCTCCCTAGGTGAGGCTCCTGTTTCACATAGCAGCTGACCTGAGTGACTTCAGTTTTACCTATTGTGCTCTGGTATACCAGGAGTTATATTTTCCTCTATCACCATAGTCACCAGTGTTCCAGCTCCCTCAAACACAGTGATTTCCTATCCCTGCATTTCATTCTAGTAGAGCCACAGAGAATAGGAGTCATTTCAGTTGTTTGTCCTTATGGACCCAATTTAGTAAATATTTAATCAGCGATTACTAATGTAAAGAAATTCAGTGGGGGGCTGGTGAGATGGCTCAGTGGTCTAAAGCACCTACTTAGAACAAGCTAAGCTAAGCAAAGCACAGGGACCGTGGTTCGATCCCCCAGCACCACATGCCAGCCAGCCCCGCCCCCTGGTGGGCTGAGCTGGCCACACACTAAATAAATAAATAAATAAATAAATAAAATTTTAAAAAAAGACAGAAAGAAATTCAGTGGAAGCTACAGAGCATGGAGAGAAGTACTTGCCCCCCAGGAGCCCATGCTTCAGTGAAGAAGGCAGAAACACAGATGTAATTCTAAGGCACTGATTCTTCATCTTGGCTACACCATAGTAGCACCTGGGGGAACGTAGGCACTTCCCAGTGCCCAGGCAGTACTGTGGATCATTTAAAGTAGAATCACAAGGGCGAGAGACCCAGGCATGAGTATTTTTAAAAGCTCCCTGGGAAATTTCAGTGCATTGCTAAGCAAGAGCAAAACAAACTTGGAAAATGCTTCAGTGAAGAACTACGGGCTGCCTGAAGCACCACAAGCGTTCTGGATATGTTAATATTCTTTATCCCCCATCTGACCACATTTCAGCCCATGAATGTGGAAAATATAGCCTATCACAGAGAACATGGGGAAGCTGAGGTCAGTGTGATTGTAGGGTACTTACAAACTGTGTACTCTGTGAGGTATGGTCTGGAGGGAATTGTCTATGTGGGGAAAATGGCCCCCAAAAGGTCAGCCCAGAGAGATGACCCCCAAAGTCGTTCTCCATGCTAGTTCACTATTCTGCAGTATTTTTGTTATTGTTGTTCTTGTCTTTCTAAGTAAGTCCTCCTGCAACCATAGCTCAAACCTCAGCTTTGTAAAATCTTCCCTACCCCAGTTAAAATCAGCTCCCTATTTTTCTCCATTACCTAACTCCCTGTAAATGTCTGTTTTTAGCAGTTAATTATAATTAATGTCAAATTTTGTTATAATATGGTAGGCTGCTTATTTCATATTTTATAGGACTTACTAGTCTGTTTCTCAAATACTCGCATAGCTTTTTGCTTTATTGAGTGAGTGAGCGGAGCTGCAGTCAGAAAATTGCAGTCAGAAAATCGTGCTACCATCAGGGAGCCCCGGATTTAGACTTCTCCAGCTCCCTCCCTCAGTTTTTGACCGTGGAGAGGCTCTGCTTCTCATTGGCTGGAGAAGTCAGCACACTCACTTGTGGGAAGCAGCAGGAGGAAAGGACGGAAGGAAGACTAGCAGGGCTGTCCCTGTAGCCGATCTTGAGTGTCCTTCGCAGTTCTGCAGTGAGAGGAAGGGGAGATGAAAGGCTACAGGTTTGCAGTGTGTTGACCGAGGAATAGCGCCGGTGGTACCAACCCCTGCTCTACTTAGGTCCCACAGTCAGAAGTAGCCCAGAGAGCTGCAGCTTTCTGTGTGGGAAAATTGCTTGTCTGTTTTACTTTTTAAGCCTTCTTTAATCGTCTTAAGTGGTTTGGAATGTTACAGGTTTTGCACAAATAAAGGTGAAAAGATTATTTCAGTTTTATAAATGAGGGTCCTGCATTCCAGGTTTTCTAGGGCAGTATTAATCTTAGAGCATATGTCCTGGTTTTTTGGTAGGAGGAGAGTGCTGTTTTCACCATGTTTATTTATTTATTTATTTTAATATGGAAAGTATGATTGCTTTCTTACAATTGCCTAATATTTGGCAGCATGCTTAAAGGTCTTTTAATCATCAAAACATCAAATTATTTTACATTTCTCTTTGAGAACTCAGGTAGGGCTGCTACATGGACAAAAGAAACCTGAAAATGATACGCGGCTCTGGCATTTGGCACACAACCCTAAGCACCATACCTCTGTTGATTTAGTTTCTTGGTGAGGATACTATAAGCACTCCTAGAAATTAAGGGGGAAAAAACCTTCCAAAGAAAAAAATGGGTCAGTGAGAACTATTCTTTCCTTAAGAACCTTTCTTTATTCTGCTTGGCACACCAGAAACATTTGTCACTAGGGCGTATTCACAGAAGGGATGGAGAGGCTCCTGCTAGAGCTGGTGCGCAGCAGCATCCCTTGTGCCTTAGGCCGGGTGGACTCTGAAAGCACAGTGGCTGTTGCCCTGCCAGGGCCTTTTTCTTTTATTGGGTAAAATTTTGAAAATACCCATATTTATCTCTTACCTTAATAACCATAGTTTGTTGTGGTTATTATGGACTCAATTGTTACAGGTTCTCTTTCTACTTAATACATTCAGACCAAATGAGAGTTTTATAATCCAACTGTGTCCAAAATCACCTGTTTTAATCAAATGAACTACATGTATACAATCTGTTAAAAAGTAATTTTTAATCATTGAATAGTACAAAAAGTATAAAGTAGTGGTTAAATTTATTATGATGATATTTTCATATGTAAACATCCTAAGCTTTTTAAAGTTGCTGAGAAATGCTATCAGTAACATTTTGTTCTTTTTAGTCGCAGCTGACTGTCCTGAGGTCTGTAGCAATCTGTCTACACCCCTGACAGTACATCTTGTATATTCTTCAGTCAGTGTTATTTTATGAAACAAGAACCACAGAGTGGTATCAAAACATATGTCATTGGTAGGTGGCACACTATTAATATATGGACTGCATCTATTAGTACATCTGTTAGTACAATAACCGGTGAAAAGCAGACGATTTGTATGTGTCTGTTGTTAATGTAGGAGCTACTTTTGCCTTAATTGATAGTAGTTTGCTTGCTGTGTGTTACCATAATACTTTGGTAATAGAAAGTCTGTAGTTGGTCAGGCAGGGTCTTTCCCAGGAGAATCCTGTTACATAGCTGTTTCCATAGTCAACATCTGTGTGTTTTCTTTTCTCAATTTTCCCCTCTTGCAGCCTTATTGTATCACTGTTAGGACATTTAGGAACTTTTCACGTAGTTTCTCAGAATTCCAAGTTTTTCAGCTGGTAGTAAAGCCTTTACAATAGGCCAGATTTGAGCTTCAAGGCCCTCTATGAGTCCCCCAGTGAGGGAAGAAGTCAATGCCAAGTATAGGAAGGGGGCTTGGCATGAGTTCTGCTATATCTGACTAGGGATCAGGAGATGATGAGGCCAGAGAGAGGCTGAGCTCATTCTAAAGAGAAAAAGAAATGGGGCCAGAACATTTTCTGGATAGTAATGTTTTCCCCCAATCTACCAGTCCTTCTCACTGACAAATGATAACCAATCTAAGTATCAGATTAGATTGTTACTTTTAGTAGTCAGTCTATATGATACCATTTTTAACAGGAGGCCTCATTCTTCTTTTCTTATCCAGAACTAAGAGACAAAAAGTGAATATGGTTTTTGCTCACAGAATGGATAACATCAAGCCACCTTTGGTTGTTCCTTCGCTTCTGATGCCCCTCCAGAATCACAGCTGCACTGAAACAGCCGCGCCTCTGCCAAGCCATGACCCAGTGGAATTATATGAGGAGCACAGGCGGATGAGCAACAGAACAGACCTTCAGTATGGACTGAAACCCGGGGAAGTGGCCACAGCCAGCATTTTCTTTGGGACTCTGTGGTTGTTTTCTATCTTGGGCAATTCCCTGGTTTGTTTGGTCATCCATAGGAGTAGGAGGACTCAGTCCACCACCAACTACTTTGTGGTCTCCATGGCATGTGCTGATCTTCTCATCAGTGTGGCCAGCACTCCATTTGTCCTGCTGCAGTTCACCACTGGAAGGTGGACACTTGGTAGTGCCATGTGCAAGGTGGTACGATACTTTCAGTATCTCACTCCGGGTGTCCAGATCTATGTTCTTCTCTCTATCTGCATAGACCGGTTCTACACCATTGTTTACCCACTGAGCTTCAAGGTATCCAGAGAAAAGGCCAAGAAAATGATCGCAGCATCCTGGATCTTTGAAGCAGCCTTTGTGACCCCCATCCTTTTTTTCTATGGCTCCAACTGGGACAGTCACTGTAACTATTTTCTCCCTTCCTCCTGGGAAGGGACTGCCTACACTGTCATCCACTTCTTAGTGGGCTTTGTGATTCCATCTGTCCTCATAATCTTATTCTACCAGAAAGTCATAAAGTATATTTGGAGAATAGGCTCTGATGGTCGAACGGTGAGGAGGACAATGAACATTGTCCCAAGGACAAAAGTGAAAACAGTCAAGATGTTCCTCATTTTAAATCTCTTATTTTTGTTCTCCTGGCTGCCTTTTCATGTAGCTCAGCTCTGGCACCCCCATGACCAAGACTATAAGAGAAGTTCCCTTGTTTTCACAGCGATCACATGGATATCCTTTAGTTCTTCAGCCTCTAAGCCGACTCTTTACTCAATTTATAATGCCAATTTTAGGAGGGGGATGAAAGAGACTTTTTGCATGTCCTCGATGAAATGTTATCGAAGCAATGCCTATACTATCACAACAAGCTCAAGGATGGCCAAAAAAAACTACGTTGGCATTTCAGAAATTCCTCCCATGGCCATAACTATAACCAAAGACTCAATCTATGATTCATTTGACAGAGAAGCCAAGGAAAAGAAGCTTGCTTGGCCCATTAACTCAAATCCACCAAATACTTTTGTCTAATTTCTCAGTATTCTTTCACTTATTGTTATGCACTGGAGATTAAAAAAAAAAAAAACTTTAAAACAAGTTATTTACATATTTTTCACTCAACTTTCTGAGTTATTTTGTAAAATGCATTTATTTGTTGATTATAGACTATTTAAAGTCTAAAAACTAGACTTTTATACTAGTTGCTTTTTGTTTTAGGAAAAGCATTCACCTTAACTGTGGTCATTCTTTTACTGTATTACTTGAGATGCACAAAAAATTCTTTTCCACTTTTTATCGACCATTAGGACAGAATCTTTGGTTAATAATTCCACTCTGTTTTGTTTTCTTTTTCTTCTCTCTACTGAAGTTTTATAACTATAGACTTATGTTTCAGTGATATCCCTCATGTTCTACATTTTGGGAACATGTATTTATTTCTTTAGGCATTTAGGAAGAGTTAATACTGAAAATGTTTTCACATTACTTTTTCCCAAGTAATCACTGGCCAAATCTGCCATGGAAGGCAATTCATGTATTGGAATATATTGGAATTTGCTGGAAAGTCGCCTATAATTGGGTTCTAATCAGAATTCATAGTGAAATAATGCTTATGTTCTTGCTGAAGTTTCTCTCTCTTGATTTCATCCTACTTTAAGCTACTGACGAGGTCTTGAAAATTCCACATTCGATGTGATGTTTCTTTATATCTGGGTCCCACAATCAAATGAGCAGGTGCTCTTGCTAGGCATATCCAGAAAATATCAAAGGGAGAAGTGACAGATGGTATTTCTTTGTGCTGTGCAATTCAACAATCCTCAACTGCTGGGCCCTGTCACCATCTACCAGGACAGAAAAGACAAGGATTATCTTCCCCTTTCTCCTAGCAGCTCTGACGCAAGTCCTGTGCTCCTGCCAGAGCTTCCTTTCCTTCCAGGTCACAGCACTACCCCCTCCCCCAGCGCCCACCAGGCTCACGCTCCTCATTGTCTACGGTAACTCAAGACTTTTTCTCTGGTTCTCAGGGCTCCATGATTTCAATTCTAGGACCAATTCACTTAGGAAATGTTTTCTATTAATAAAGGGCTTACAGACAAGACTGGTGTGCATTTTCATGCCCTAGTGAATAAGAGCTACAAACAGTTCATCAGTTTTACATGCAATAGTTCATTTATCAATAATTCTATGATGTGTTTATTTTATTTTATTTTTGAATTTTATGTATTTGGTACAGGGTCTCATTACACAGCTCGGACTTACAGTGATCCTCCTGTCTCAGCCTACCCAGTGCTAGGATTACAGGCATGCACCACCATACCTGGTCGTAGCAGCAGCTCAACATGCCCGGGGTGGGACTAGGTCCTTAACGCTTGCCAGGCAGGCACTTAGACCACTGAGCTAGTTCCACACCAGGCAGACACTTATGCCACTGAGCTATTTCCCTGGACCCCTGTGATGTATTTATTATTATTTGTTTTATAGATGAGGAAATGAACTCAAAAGTAATGTGACAAGCCCAAATTTGGATGTGACAAAGCTGGCATTGAGACTCAATATTCTATATGCAAGTTTGTACTCTTTCCTTAGCATGACAGATGTCTTGTTCTTATAAAGAACAAATGTCTTGTTATAAGGAACAAGAGTGGTCACGTCCAACCATGTCTCTTTGGGCCTTCTGATCACAACCGTGGTGGAACTATAAGGTTGAAGAGAATCTTACCATTCTTTTAAAAAAAAAACAAAACTAGAATTTAGCCAGTATAATGCTGAGTGCTAGCACTCAGGCAGCTGCGGGAGGAGGATTGCTCTGAGTTCAGTTCAAGGCCATTCTGGACTGCCTGGCAAGATCCTGTGTCAAAATAAAATACAAAATAAAAAATCTAGAACTCTGAATGTACTTGAGATTGAACTCAGGTTTTCCTCACACTGAGCTGCATCCCCAGCCCTTTATTTATTTATTTATTTATTTATTTATTTAGACACCAAGTGTTTGCTTAGGCTGGGTGTGAGTTTATAATCTTCCTATTTCAGCTCTCAGAGTACTGAGATTACAGGAAGCAGCCTCAGGCAGTACTATTAGATGAAGTTTAATTAGCATTACCTGCCCCTTTGCTTTTCCCTGGCTGTGAGTTGTTTCTTGGACTTGTGGAGCTGAATGTTTGTGATATAAAAGGAAGCTGTCCATTTCCTTCTTACAGACCAGGAAAGAAGGTTGAGGTATAAATCGAGTACAAAGAATAAGGAAACATTTAATGCACATAGCATCTATAGAGTTAATTCCTTTTTTTTTTTTTTTTTGTGGAACCAGGGATTGAACTCAGCCCCCTGTGCTTGCCAGGCAAGCGCTTATTCTACTGAGCCATCTCCCCAGCCCCAAGCTAATGCTCCTGAGATGTTCCCTTTAATCAAATTGAAGAGATGAAAGGAGTATCTCGTACTTTACTTTCTCTTTATGTCCTCTTCACATTTTTCTTGGCAAACTGATCCAGATGTTTATCTCCCTTGACCTTGGCATTCTATAATTCAGACTTATTAGAAAATAGAAAAGACCCCTGAAGTAGTGTTTTATTTTTTTTAAGCGGAATATTCTTTTTCTAAAATTCCAAAATGTTAAATTATAAAAATTTTGTTTCAGTTTTAGTTTTAGGCCTAGCTTAAAGGAGTTAGATGATTACTAAACTCCATTCTGTCTTTAATGTTCTGTGAGTTTATCTCAGTAGGTAGAAACTCAGAATGACAACCTCATACAGCTTACTGTTGTAGAGATTTAAAAAAAAGTATTATATTTAAATAATGACTAAGAGTGAGAGTCTTAGGATATTTATTTATTTATTTATTTATTTATTTATTTTTGACTGGCTCAGCCCACCCTGGAGATGAGGCTGGCACAGCATCTGGTGCCAGGGATCAAATCACGGTCTCTGTGCCCTTGCTGTAGCTTGCCTAAGCAAGTGCTTCAGACCTCTGACCTATGTTGCCGGTTGAGTCTCAGTATCTTAAGTCTCTGCAATGTAAGAACATTCACAGTGAGGGCGATAGCTCAACAGTCTAAGCACCTGCCTGGTACGCGCAGGGTCCCGAGCTCAGTCCCCGGTACCACATCATGCCGGCCCTGGAACGTGGGGTGGCCTGTGATCTCAGCACTAGGGAGGCTGAGACAGGAGGATCATTTTGAGTCCGAACTGCGTAGCGAGACCCTGTATCAACATAAATAAACAGCGGTCACAACTTGGTGTTTACTTAGCAAAAACCAGAATGAAGACATAGGGAGACAGGCAAGTGGAGAAGAAAGCGGTCCTAGGCTCTAGGCAGCTGCACAGTGAGGCTCACCACACGTCTGGGCTCATGGAGCCTCCAAACAAGCCCGAGTGCTGGGATTGCAGGCGTGCCCTGCCATGCCTGGCCCTCCCATCTTCGAAACCTCCATGAAATCATGAATCCCACCAGCCTGCTTCTAAGAAGCAAGCACGTCCTGCCCTGACGCACTTATGTGGGCCAGTCCAGTCTTCTGCTCAGAAAGGATCATTTAGGTCCATTTCCATCAAGCATGCGCAGAGCAGAGTCAGATTAGGTTGACATTACCTTTCTCGGTGGCCTCCATCCTTGCTGCCATTTGTTCAAATTCACTTTTGAGCAACATAACCAATTTTGAGGGAGAAAACTTGAACAAAATTAGCTTGGAGGGTATGCTCCTCTGTAAGGACCATATATAAAAGAATCAGATTAGCCTTTTCTAGGAGAAGAGCTGGCGAGACTTAGCCATTTAGAAGAGGAAATCCAGGCCAAGAGGTGAAATTAGGGGCAAACTAAAATGTTTTCCACCAGGTAGTTAGCATCCTGTTACCTTCGCCATTCTATTTGCTGTAGCCTGATTCATTTGTCACAGGAAAGAAAAATCCTCACTGCAGAACATGAAAAGAACACGCAATTCCCATTGAAAGAGGGTCGCTTAGAGAACAATGGAAGAAAGTATTTTCACTAGCAGTTTTTCAGCATGACCACTTGAGGGCGCAGTGGGCAGAGTCTGGGCTCTTCACAGGCCTGTCACATTGGCGGATTCAGAGCAGTCTCTGTCTCATAGCAACAAGACTGAAAATTGCCACGCACCCAGAAGCAGCTGTAGATTAATTAATCAATCAGTGTGTTCAAAACACAAAGCCGCTAAACACTGGAGGAAATTCCCAAACAATATCCTTTACAAACATGAAATCTCTATAGTCAAAATATTGTTTTCAACCCTTTCTATAAATGTGATCATTTTTTAAAAGCCCCATCAGACCACCAAACTGGCACCCCCTGCACATACCAGGGCTGCTGCTTTTCTCGTTTGACTCAGAATTGATGGACCCCCTTTAGCAGCAGAAACTAGTCCACAGAGAAGTTTATATGCTGCTGGGAAGTAGGCAGATTTATTTTAGGATGAACTCATTGTAGCCCCATCTATCTCAGACTTTTTTTTTTTTTTTTTTTAATGTAGCACCAAGTTTTGAACCCAGGGCCTCACATCATCAGTAAATACTCTACCATTGACCTACATCCCAAACTTTTAATTTTTTATTTTTGAGGTAGAGTCTTGCCAAGTTCCCCAGACTAGCCTTAAATGTGTGATCCTCCTGCCTCAGCCTCCTCAGTGGGAGGTGGTACACAAGTGTCAACGTCACACCTAGCGTTTAAACATTTTAGCGCTTTCAGTGATTCAACCTGCTGCGGCACGTGTGACATGGGTTCTCCAATGTCCTAGACCATTTTGAACGTTTTACACACCTGAATACTTCAAGAGCTGTTTATTCTTTCTGTATCCTCTCCATGAACTAATTGGGTTACGTGATAGGATTATACAATTTGAATTGATTTGTATTTGGAAGAACATGTGGTTTTAGTTTTGCAGTAGAATGGTCTCTGCTATGTACTAGACTGCAGTCCCTGTGTCTGGTTTCAGGATAAGGAGGCAAGGCTGGAGATTTGAGAACATAATCTGGTTTTCAGCAGGCTGGCAGCATAGGGCAGTTTTTCAACAGCAGATATGGAAGTGTAAAACTCCTTTTGGGAAACTTTGAGGTGGGCCCTCAATAAAAGTCACCTATTGTTAGAAGTTAGTCATTGCAGACCCAATTACTTCACGCCATATTGATAGGTGCTACCTCTAATAGAAATAGGCTTTTGATACCACCCTCAAGTTATAACCTTGCTTTCCTCCTGAAGCTTTTTTAGCTGAACTAAGATCCTTAAGACTTGAGGTGGAAGGAAAAATTGGGAGCAGGAACTTGTGTGGAAGGGAGA